CTTCACTGGAAAGATGAAAAATGGGGGCACCTGGGTGGCTGCTCAGTGGGTTGAAGCCTCTGCCTTCAGCTAGGGTCATGATCTCAGGGTCCCGGGATTGAGCCCCAGATCAGGCTCTCTGCTCTGCAGGGAGCCTGCTTCCCCCTTTCTCTCTGCCTGACTCTCTGCCTACTTGTGATCTCTCTCTGTGTGTCAAATAAATATATAAAATCTTAAAAAAAAAAAGATGAAAAATGTTACAGAGGTTTACAGAAATCTGAATACAGTCATATACCTGAAATTCACAAAAACTGACTAAAGGCTAAGCATTCTCTATGAACAGTTTTTACACCTGCATGAAAAAAGTCTTCATAATATTAGAGGGTATGAGAGAACCACAGCTTTCCTTATTTAACATTGACACAACATTTGCCATGGAAAATTCTCAGGAAATTGTGGTTTTCACACACCTCGTTTCTTCCATTTCAAATAAATTAAGTAAAAAAGAGGAAAACACCTCATCTTTTTATGGAAAAATTTTATTTTGGTATACGGGTATTTTTTATGAACACAAGCATTAGGTGTTCAATTCTGAAAAGAATCTTGAGAATGTACATGTGAATACAAACAACTGTCTAAAAATGAAAAAGTTCTCTTACATGCAGTGTTCCTTCCTGTGAAAAGCTGCCTACAACAACCTGACTCAGAGTGAACTGGTAGAGGCAGAAAGCTGGGAGCAGTATTCTTAATATTTATACTTAATTTCAATTCTAGTTTCACCTAAAGATATATGTGTCCTTTTACTAAAAATAAGTAGGCAGGTAATAAGAATCAGTCCATTCAGCTGGATTAGAAGAACTCTGGCAACCTATGGCTTAGAGTCCACACTGAAGGCAACAGGAGACCTTTTTGCATTGGTTGGGCTCTTATAATCCCTGGGACACCAGGATTCTAAAATGGAGTCCTACAAATTAGGGACCCACTCAAGCCTTTTCTCCTAAACCTTTGTTTTGTAGGCTGAGACCAGGGTTTAGACCTTGGATCTGTTATCTGCTAATGTCTGCCTATAGGTATATTTTTTACCTTTCTGGGCCAGTATGTCCTTTCGTTAAATGGAGTTATCATCTTCCCTGAGAAAGCTAACATATATAAAGCACCTAATTGAGTCAGCAACTGTTAACAGATGTTCACAAATATTAATTTGCTTCCCCTTATCCAGCAGTCGTTTAATATACCTGTCTTATACTCCCTACTAGATTATATATTCCTCTGGAAAATATTGAGTTGCCTATTCCCTTTGTTATCGTCCACACCACCTAGCTGATTGCTTCGTGTGCAACACATGTTTTGAATTGCGAAGTTTCTGAAATCCTGGCCCCAGCTGTCTGGAAACGTCAACATTCTCATTCTTCCACTCTTTAGCTTTCAACTTTCATCATATACATATTAGCTGCCTACTTAACCTTTCTACCCCTTTTCTGCATTTGAAAAATGAAGACTTTACTATTACTACACACACACACACACACACACACATTGTGTGCACATATGTGCAAATGAATGCTTTCTACATGAGATCACTGTTGTAAGATCAACTGAGATAAGAACGTGTATGGAAGAACTGTGCAAACTGTAAGATATTACATAAATTAGTTTGCTCTGCTCTGATCTGATCAACAGGCAGCTCAAATGTACAGAGCTCTATGTAACAGGCTTCATTCCTGTGAGGTTACCTTTCACTGAGCTCACTTCCTATGACACATTGAAGAGCAATCAATCCTTTCTCCACAAAAACACTGTTGCCTGCATCATTTTTTAGAGGTTTAATTTATTAACAGGTTTTCAAACAGAAGAACCTGAATCCAATGGGAGAATATCCCAAATGAAATAAAAACACTAACAAAATAGGTGAAATCAAATAGCTTGGGAGGAATCTGAAATGATTTTTTAATCAGGGCAGTTTCCTTTGGCTTTAAATTCCTCCAGGGTTCCATCAAGAACTTGGATGAAACAGAACTGTTTCTCCTTCCTCCCTCTCCAGCTTCCCTTCCGTCCTTGCTTTTGTTTAGAGGAAGGTATAAACAGCAGAAATGTAACCAGGTTTCACTTGACCCTTGACAGTGAGATCCTAAATTTCCTTTTTTTAAAAAAGATTTTTATTTATTTATTTTCCGAGAGCAAGAGCACACCAGCATGTGAGAGAGCATGAGCATGGGGAGAGGCAGGGGGAGAGGCAGAGGGAGAAGCAGGCTCCCTGCTGAGCATGGAGCCCAACATGGGGCTGGATCCCAGAACCCTGGGTTCATGACCTGAGCCCAAGGCAGCTGAGTAACTGGATGAGCTACCAAGGCGCTCCAAGATCCTAAACTTTTTATCTGAATTAGTATTAAAAATTTCACCACTACAGGGGCGCTTCGGTGGCTCAAAGCCAGTTAAGTGTCCACCTGGATTTCAGCTCAGATCGCAGGGTTAAGTGTCAGTTAAGTGCCAGTTAAGTCAGTTAAGCGTCCAACTGGATTTCAGCTCAGATCGCAGGGTTCTGAGATCTAGCCCTCTAGGCTCTGTGCTTAGCAGGGAGTCTGCTTGTCCCTCTTCTCCACCCCTCACTGCCTCTCAGGCCCTGCTCAGGCACCCGAGGACTGTTTCTCTAAAATAAATTAATTAAAAAAATTTTCATGACTACAAATCCTGTCATATGCAAATGAATTTACTAATATAAAATAACAATGATAAGCTAATATAGATGTTTGTTGCCCTTTTTTTTTTGGATAAATGACATTCCACACACTGGAAAGTTGAAGGAAGCGTTGTAAATGGAAGAAGATACCCTAAAAAATTGATTTTATAAATATTACACATACACTAATGTTAATCTTCCAAAGTGAAAACAATCTGGCAGAGAAGATGCTTTTTACTTGAACCATAAATTAAATATTAATGAATACTTTTAAAATTTAGCAACCTTTAGGGGCGCCTGGGTGGCTCAGTGGGCTTAGCCGCTGCCTTCAGCTCAGGTCATGATCTCAGGGTCCCGGGATCGAGTCCCGCATCGGGCTCTCTGCTCAGCAGGGAGCCTGTTTCTCTCTCTCTCTCTCTCTCCGCCTGCCTATTTGTGATCTCTCTCTGTCAAATAAATAAATAAATCTTTAAAAAAAAAATTTAGCAACCTTTAGAAAGCTCAAAAAATTTATTCTGGAAAACTGATTTTTTAAAAAAAAAATTATTTTATTTATTTATTTTGACAGGCAGAGATCACAAGTAGGTAGAGAGAGGGGCAGAGAGAGAGGGGGAAGTAGGTTCCCTGCTGAGCAGAGAGCCCAATGCAGGGCTCGAGCCCAGGACCCTGAGATTATGACCTGAGCTGAAAGCAGAGGCTTTAACCTACTGAGCCACCCAGGCGCCCCTGATTTTTTTTTTTTTAACTCTCAAGAGAAAAAAAAATTCTATAACATTTTTATTCCATTACTACTATTATATTTAACATGTCATTATTTTGTCTGAGATACAGACCGAACCACAGTTTAGTTTTAGTTTAGTTTTTCCTCTCTTTATGAAAAAATCCCATGAAGTAAGAATATTTACTGTAGAATTATTCTAGTACAAAATAAAGAAACTGTTGTAAAATCATGTTCAGGGATTTAGTGTGGCTTTTCTCATCAGGACGATGGCACCAACAAGTTCTCCCTCCTCTCAAGCAAATAAAAACCTTTCATATTCTGGCTTTCTTAAAATGTTTTAAAATCTAACATGTCTCATATCACTTGCAGAAAAGTCAGTGCTAGTCTATAAAAACAAAGAATCAGAGCATTCTTTCCTCAGGGCGGGAATAGGCAAACTGACATCCATAGTTGGATATTCTAACATAAGGCTCTGGATAATCAATAAAATAAATAGGCAGAAAATCAGTAAAGATATAAATCACCTGAACAACACCAAAAACCAAGAGACCTACTTGACATTTTTAGGACACTGATGCCAAGAGAAAACATACTGTTTTCAAGTGCATATGAAATAGTCACTAATATAAGCCATTCTGGACCACAACACAAATAAAAATCATAAAAAGTCTGCTCAAGGATCACAAAGGAAACAGTCATGAAAACATACCTAGAAGACTCCTTAACTGTTCAGAAATTAAACAACATACTTCTAACTACACCATGGTGAAACAGAAAGTTTCAAGGGAAATTTAAAATACTGTGAACTCAAAGAAAATGAGAATATAACCTATCAAATTTAAGGGTGCAGCTAAAGGAGTGCTTACATAAAGCAACTTTGCAACACTAAATGCTTGTTAGAAAAGAAGCAATCTCTAAAATCAGTAACTGAAGTTTCCACATTAAGAAACTAGAAAAAAGAGCAAAGTGGACATAAATGCAGGAAACATGAAATAATATACATTAGAGCAAATGCCAATAAATGTGAAAACAGAGAAGCAACACAGAAATATCCATTAATCCAAAATCCGCTCTTAGCCTGGAACTGTCCTATGTAGACATTAGCAGAGCAGGCAGAAATGAAAAAGGCGAAATAGTAGGAGCAGGAGAACTGGGTAAAAGTCCCAACTGCCATTTGGTACACCTTTACTCAGCTCACTTCATTCTTTCTGAACTACAGTTCCCTCATTTGTAAAAAGAGGGTAAAAATAATCTTTCACAAGTACTAAATACAGAGATTAAATGAAATAGTCATAAAAATTACTTGGAAAAAATAAAAATATTCTTTGCTATGATTATTAAAATTAATGACTTGTTACTAACACACAAATGCCACAATAAGTTCAACATACATTTACGGACCTTGAAGGTGTGCTATCATAAGCAAAGCAAAATTCATAAATTACCATAAAAATATTTTTTTGATGGCAATAACAGAGCTGAAGTGGGGAAAATCATCATATTCTAATAGTAACTGGGTTGTTAAGTTTTTTTCTTCAAGGAAAAAGGTGATAAGAAAAAGTTGGTCAACCATATAAAGCAGTAACTTTTTTTTAAAAGAAAGACAATCCATTGCAGACATACCTTTTTGCAGATTTTTTCAAAGCTGATATCATCACCGAGCGCAGATTTAGTTACTACATCAGGTTTCAATTCCTGTAAAAAAAAGGGGGGGGGATTTTAGTTATGAGTTTAATCTTAGTTACCTATTTATTTTTGTGGGGGAGGAGCAGAGGGAGAGGTAAGAGAGAATCTTAAGCAGGTTTCATGCCCAGCATGGAGCCCTAAGTGGGGCTCTATCTCACGACCCTGAGGATCATGACCTCAACCGGAATCAAGAGTAGGATGCTTAACCAACTGAGCCACCCAGGCACCCAGTTATGAGTCTAATTTTAATGCACCATTCAGTATTTAATGCATCATTCATTATTTTAATACTTGTCATGTTTTGCTTTTATGAAATCTGATATTAAATAAGTTCTTAATTTTAGATGAGAACAACTTCAATCACATAGTATGAAATTATCATACTATGAAAAACCACAGCAAAATGAATTCAAGAGCTAATCCTCCTAGGACAAGTACACTCAGATTCCATGGAAGCCAGCAAATTTCATGCGCTATAAAATTTCCAGCTTAGTAACAGTTCTTTAATGGAAGTAAGATTAATATTACTCAAAATAGTAATTTAAGACTTCTACATTTCAAAGGAATTATTACTTTATTTTAATGACATTTCAGGACATTAACAATTATATCATTTTATAGAGAAATGTAAAGATTTATAGAGAAATGCATACTTTTATTTTTTTTTTTGACAGAGATCATAAGTAGGCAGAGAGGCAGGCAGAGAGAGAGAGAGAGGAAGCAGGCACCCCGCTGAGCAGAGAGCCTGATGCAGGGCTTGATCCCAGGATCCTGGGATCATGACCTGAGCCGAAGGCAGAAGCTTTAACCCATGGAGCCACCCAGGCACCCCGAGAAATGCATAATTTTAATTAATGATTAAATAATCTAACCTACAAAAGACTTTTTACATTGTGCAAGGAATTAATCCAAATTTATTTTAGAAAATTAAAACCAGAAAAGCAGAGAAAAATAAGTAAAATTACTAACAGTGTTTACATGGTTGTAATTTCATTATACACCCTTCTATATGCTTCTTTAAGAGAATTAAGTTTGATAATATAGTTCACTAAAGAATGAGAGCTTTAGATCTCACAAAAATGAAATTTCTCTTAACAGTTGTCAAGTTATGCTACCATGCATGAAAAACTACAATAAACATTTGTGTATTTTTTTCAAGATATTATTTGGAAGAAAGGTAAATAAAATCAGATAGTTGGTTTTAAAATAACACTGAGTGACAGTAAGTTAGATAAATGTGTGATATGGTAAAAAAAATACAGAAACTATTCCGTGAAAATTATTTAAATTATATATAGTTTTAAGATTTATTTAGAGAGAGAGAGAGAGAGACAGAGACAGAGAAAAAAGGAGAGAGAGTATGAAGCCGACTCCACACTGAGCATGAAGCTCACCACAGGGCTCGAACTCACAACACTGGATCACAACCTGAGCCAAAACCAAGGGCTGGAGGCTTAACTGACTGTGTCACCAAGGTGACCCCAAATTATATTTTAAACAAAAATAGGATCAGTGCACCTGAGTGGCTCAGTTGGTTGAGCCTCCAACTCTTGGTTTTGGCTCAGTCCCTGATAAGGGGTCATGAGATCAAGCCCTGCCTGGGGCTCCCTCTCAGTGGGGAGTCTGCTCTCTTTCTTTCTACCTCTGTCTCTCTCCACACTCACATACGTGCAGCCATACTCTCTCTCCTTCTCAAATAAACAAAGGCATCTTAAAAAAACAACAACAAAAAAACACCAGGACCATAGCATTTTGTAAACTAGTTTTATCATTTAATGGCAGAGCAAATATCTATCCATTTTCTTTTTATTCTCTTACATAGCTGTCCTTATTTATTTAACCAACCTATTATTGGACATTAGTATGTTTTCTGATTTTTTAAATCTTTTTATAAATAAGAATGGAGTAACTATCCTTGTATATGCTGATTTGTATAACTCCTGAAAAATTACATGTTCTGTAGTAAAGAGCTATACTATGCTTTTAGAAAATGAACTGAATGAAAAAAAAAAAAGAAATACTGATATTAACGGTCCAATGTCAGAAAGATCAGAAAGCACAGTTTCTGATAATACAGAATATTTTGTATACAGGAATACAACTGGGAAAAAATGTGTATGTAAAACAAATCTATATAAAGAGCATGAAAATAATAGACTCTTTTAAGTGTGTGTGTGTGTATGTGTGTGTGTGTAATATCTCTTTAGGAACTAATGAGCTAATTTGAAAGATGGCCTCCCTGTCAGTTTAAAGTCACTAAAACTATTTATAATTAAAAATATCCAAATTTGGGGGCACCTGGATGGCTCAGTGGGTTAAAGCCTCTGCCTTCGGCTCAGGTCATGATCCCAGGGTCCTGGGATCAAGTCCCGCATTGGGCTCTCTGCTCAGCAGGGAGCCTGCTCCCCCCCGCCCCCGCCCCACCGCCACCTCTCTGCCTGCCTCTCTGCCTACTTGTGATCTCTGTCTGTCAAATAAATAAATGAAGAAAAAAATCTTTAAAATCCAATTTTTTTTTGTTGACTGGCTATAAGTATATTTTTCTACTCTGTAAGTAAAAAAAAAAATAATTCTAAGAGTAAATCAGTTAAATGTTATTGCAAATATGAAATTAATATGTACAGAAGATAATGCTGCTTAAATTTCAACCAATCCTCATACTCCCTCCAAAAGAATAAACTCAACAAGGACTATGTGAACCATGCCTTCATCATTATTAGGGGATAGAGGATACAATAAACTTCAAAGTATCTCCAAGATGAGAAACTAACACCAAATTCAACCTAGCACTCACTGCATTACACACTTGCACAGAGAAACAGGAAGTAGAAGATTAAGATACTGGGGAAGTTGATACTAGAAAAAGACCTCCAGATTGGATCTAAAAGCAAAACTTAAGTCTACACTATATATATGAGATACACAAAAAACACAGCGATTCAAAAAGGCTAAAAATAAAGGAATTCACCAAGATAGGAACAGTAAGAAATAGGAAATAGGAACAGTAAGAAAGCAGGAGCTGAGATAATGTATCAGATGAAGAATAATTAAAGAAAAAAATGAAATGAGACACAGGAGATTTCCAAGATATGGAAAAACGGAAACATATTATTAACAGAAGACTTTTATACAACAGTTCAGCTGAAAATAGGGGGGAAAGCATTAGAAAATCTTAACATAATAAGTTGTATCTTACAGATTTATTTTGGACATTTTATCTGTCTTATATTTATTTTGAACATTAAAAAATTTATCGTATATTAAGTCAAAGTAGGTATTAGTAAGTTCATCAAGTAAAATGCTAAAAACAACATTCCCTGATCCCAATGAAAAAGCAGGAATTAAAGAAAACCAACGGACAAAAAGGCTTATCTACCCAGAATTTTTAAAACAAAACAACAAAAACTTCAAACAACTCTTGGGAAAGGAAAAATATAAACAGAAATTTCAGGGTTTCTGAAAATTAATAAGGCAACACTGCATTTCACAATCTATGGGACACATTGAAAGTGGTTTTTATTTTTGAGACAAGTATATAAATAAGGAAACAAAAATAAATGAATAGTCAACTAAAAGGAACCTAAATTATCTTTATTCTTCACTTATCAAATGGAAAGGAAGACTCAATTAAATCATGTGATTTGTCCAAGGTCCTATTGTTAGTTGGTGGTAAGACTGACCTAATTAATTAATGATTAATTAATTAATTAATAACTGACCTAATTAATGATCTACTGGATCATAATCTATTTTATTGCCACTTTGATATAATCCAAAAGATTTCCACCATATTTAAAGCACTGATGTAAAAACTGACACAAAAGTTAAACTCTATCTCATGGTTCACAGTGTCATGTGCACTGAACATGGTCAGAATCTTCTAGGTATAAGAACCTTCTAGTTTTAAAGTAGGTAGGAACGATTCATAGAAGCTTTTTTATTATACCTTTCAAAACACAAAAAATAGGTGTTTTTTTTAACAAGTGTGAGGCGCTAGGCAACCCCAGCACCTAATTCTGGCAACTTACGTGGTCTTTCAGAAATACCATTGGGAAAATGTTATAAAGGTTCAAAATATAGAATACGCTTAACAGGGAAACTGAAATTGATCTGAATTTAATGAGGTTGAGAATATTTAAAGAAACATGAGTGCCACTAAAAAAGGCTGGGCATTTCTTGGGTAAATTACAAGCAAGAGGCGCTGTCAAGATATGTGAAGGGTTAGAAAGTTAGTAAGTAAGCCTGACATGTGGCTTACTTACTGTAAGTAAGTCTGACATGTGGCTTACTTACTGTAAGTAAGTAAGGATGCAAGCAGAAGACATAAAACTCTTGGGCCTGAGATAAAGAGTGGTTTATTACTCAAGTGCCAGAGTACCTGCTCTCTATCTCATCTGTTCTTTCTGAAAACAAACAAACAAACAAACAAAAAACCAAAAAACAAAAAAAAACAAAACAAACAAACAAAAAAAGAACAAAACCTCAAAAACCCCAGACACACAGTAGACAATAAACTTAAATTATCCACACAATCAAAACTAAAGGAGCCTTTAAGGAATACAATACCTCTGAAAAATGGCTACTAAGCAGAGAACATATTCTTAGACTGAAGAAGGGAAAAGCATCTGTTTACATTCTTACTTTGGCAGTATAACCAGCAACACAAATTAGGATTATAATAACCTCTACTTTTACAACATAAGTAACTATTATTTGCACATTATGTACTAGGTTGAATGGCTTTCCAAATATGTCCATGTCCCAATTCCCAGAGCCTGTCAGTGTGCTACCTAACAGGGCCAAATGGATCTTGCAGATTTAACTAAATTAAGGATTTTAAGATGTGTGTATTATCCTAGATTATCCAGATGGTCCTAAAGTAACCAAGAGTCTTCATGGGAGAGCAGCAGAGAATAGGAGTTAGATAAAGAGAACGGGGTGGCAGTGGGGCAGGGAGAAAGGAAATGAGCAAGAGCAGGAGACTGAAACCTGAAGATGCTACCCTGGTG